CCCACTACTAAGGAAGAAAGCCTAGACTCATTAAGCATTTGATAAACTAAAAATTAGACCAGAGAAAGATAAGCTCATGGCCCCTGGTTTCTCGTAGGCCTTCCAAGATGCGAATCTATAAATAATGGGGCTTTTATCATCGTTCTAGAAAAACAAACCCTCCAGGTCCCAGACATAATTTGAGGCATCATATATTCCCGTAAGAAGCGATGAGGCAACCAATAAAAACTGAGATGAATTCTCAAAAGGCAGCCAAGGCCTTAGATTACAAGTTCTGTGAATGAAAATTCAATCAAATATATTAAGATAAAACTAATGATGCAATAATGAAAGAACTATGAATTATTTAAAAAAATAATTTTATAGACCTATTAATAGTTTTTCTTTTTTATGGAGTTGAACAGCTAACTTCAGCTCATTAAAAATTAATAAATTTAAGCGTTTTGAGTACCATCAATGGTGAACAGCAAAAGCTCTCAATCAATTATCCATTCCTCTATTCAAAATAGTAATGTCTTTTTACCCTTGTGTTGTTTTTGTTTACATATTTTGATGAAAGTTTTGGCATATGTGTGTATAGCCGATATGTCATTGTCTTGTAAGCATCAATGTTCTATGATTGCTTTTATAAAAGGATCCCGTACGTGAATGGGCATTCTTTTGTTTTTTCTTCTTGGAATGTTAGAGGCTTCGAACTGAGAGATTATTATGTGTGGATGTTGAATGCGTTCGTTCTACATTCGGATACCAATAAGAATGAGTCACGTCAGCTATATCGAGCCGCGGTACCGAGCGGGGGCTTAGGCATCCGAACGGGGTTCCGCTTCCGCATAGAATAATTTTTCTTCAAACATGAACCACCGGGAGGAATTTCTTCACGTATACCAATGAGTTGCAAGTGCGAGCCCGTGAATGAGGATTCCAAAGTGCCAAAGCCTTGCGTTGATTTGCTAGCGCAGCAAATGTGACCATACGTTCAATAGTTTGATGATAATACTTCATAAGATCAAATCATCTCTATAAAGAAATTGTGATGTGGAAGGTATTCCCATGTCCCTTCTAATACCATGAAAACCATAGGTTATCGAAATTTTTTTGACAAGTCTTCAACACTGGTGGTTATGTCTTTTGATAAGAGTTCATTGTAAGGTGGGTTAAGGTTAAGTATTAACTAAGATTTTTTTAATTTGGTGGGGCATGAATTAGTGATTTTAAAAATATACTTAAATTTTTTATCAGTGCATGGGGACCAATTACGTTGGAGATTTTAAAAGTTTTTTTTAGATAGACGCTATTATACAAAAAGAAAAATTTATCACGCTACGTTTACGTGAGTCATTTTTTCTCCATTATATTCTACTAGGAGTCAAATTCTCATTTAAATATAATAAAAAATAATAATTTTTGGTACTTTTTAGTCAAGTTTTTTTTAGGTTTATCTTTACATTTCTTAATATAGATTAGTTTACATACACTCTCCTAACAAGATCATCGAAAGAACAAAGTTTTATGTGACAAAATCATTCTATGGCGACTCTCTCTAATATTATATGCAAATGAAGCTATTGCAACCTTTTATGTATATACTTGTTTCGTGTTTTATCGATGAGTTTAAAACCACTCTTCGACCAAAACATCATCATCTCCGCAACACTGAACTTAATTTTATGCTTTCATTTTAATGGCTTACATTTTGCACCATAAAAGCATTGAAAGTCTTGCACCATCTTGTAATTCTATTTTATTTTTTAAGTTTGCGAGGTACTTATGCATCACAAGACAGGGCTGATGCATTCCTCCACTTCAAACATCCAACTTGAATTATACTTATAATATTCTCATCTATTTCACCATCATTTTGAACAATAGACTTGAGATATCTAAAACATGCACTCTTTTAAATGATTTGGTCACCTAATGTCATAATCTTACTAATTGATATATTACCACTAAAATTACACACCATGTATTCGATTTGAGACCAACTCAAACAAAAACTTTTAGACTTTAATGTTGCCCTCCATAATTCATGTTTTTCATCAACTCCCTCTCTAATCTTATCAATAAGAATAATATCATCCGCAAAAAGCATACACCAAGCTAGGTACATCAACTTTCAAATGTTTAGTAAGAGCATCCATGGCTGAACAACAAAATATGGGCTTAAATCAAATCATTGATGTATTCCAACTAAAATAGGAAAATATTTGGTCAAACCATGCACCTTATATTTGAACGTAAGTAATAGCTCCTATATACATAACCTTAATGATTTGAATATAAACAGTATTAACTATTTTCTTTTTTTCAACTCTCTATAGCACTCCTCTTAGAACTTCATCATATATATGCTTTCTCTAAATCAATAAATATCATATGCAGATCCTCCTTGCTCTCACAATATTTCTCCATCAAACCTCTCACCAAATGCATAGCTTCCATAGTAGACCTACTCGGCATGAATCCAAACAAATTTTAAAAAATAGTAGTTTTACACCAAAACCTATGCTCAATTACTTTGTCCTATAGTTTTGATGTATGCCATATTAATTTAATTCATTTATAATTCACACACTTTTGTGCATCATCTATGTTCTTAAAATAAAAAACGACACACTCCTTGTTCACTCATGTGACATTTTTTTTTTAAATAATATTAAAATTTTAATTAAACCAGAAAATTCCTACATTTCTTAAGCATTTTCACATATCTATTTGAATACCATCTGATCCTACTACTTTTTCACACATCATTTTCTTTAAAACCTCTCCAACTTTGATTTTATTAATACCACGATAAGAATAAAAAAACTCTAGTTCCATTTAGGGTGTTAAAGTCACTAAATTTAATCGTATTCTCACAACTTTCAATGAACTGCTTTTCGAAATATCTCATTGGCCTATGTTGAATATTCTCATCTTAAAAATGTATTTTTTAGTCTTCATCCTTAATATACTTCACTTGAACTAATTAAATCGGTAAATCCTTTCTTCTTCATATACATTATTATAAAAAAAAACTTATAATCATATAAAATTTCTCCCTATGAGTCTTCATATTTTGAAATCGTTGCACAATTATTTTATTATTAATGATATTAAAAATGTCTTTTTAAAAAGATAATTAATCTGACAATCATTTATCTAAAATTCTCTTATATTGTAACACAAATAAAAATCTCTAATACTTCATTAGGAAAGAGAATGGTCTTCATTTTAGAGGAGACTGCTAAGATCTGTATAGAAATAAAGTGTAACATTTTTTAGCTTAATTAGTATAAACAAGGGGGAGGTCGGCCTGCACAGCTTGCATCTTGACTAAAGCTTGTCTTACTTGATCCTGATAATCGCATTAATGATTTTTAAAGGTGGTAGTCATCCACGCAAATAGAGCATAGAAATCTAATCCATATGATGTCTACATTTCTGATCTTCATCTACGGCTCTATTTCGGACGGTTTCTTATTTGTTCTTAAAGTAAATTTTTAGTATAAAAATTTTAATTTTTATACTAAAAATTTAGTTTAACAAGCAGTAAAAAAGCCGTTCCAAAACGAAGCCTACATGTATGAAACTTAGGACAAGTTTTTGATTGAGGGAGATTTCATTTGACAAGTTCTTCTTGTGAGAATTTATAGTCGACCGTCGAGTTCTTAAAGCAATTAATAGCATAGTTTCTCGGGTGAATAGCCTCGTTGAGTAGGCGACCGTATGAATAATTGAGCGAGTTCAATAGCATGATTTTGAGTGCCGTTGATTCTTGGTTGACTCGATGAGATTTGAAATTGGGCAACATGAGGCTTTTAGACAAATTAAAGGGTTTGGTGAGTTGGTAATTCTGGCCTATTCATAGTCAGTGACTTGAAAAACCCAATTTAGACTCTCTCTAAGACTTGATTAAGGCCTCATTTGACTTACTGTTTCTTAAAACAGTTGTTTAGTACAAAAATTTAATTTTTTTACAAAAAAATTATTTTAAGAAACAATAAGAAAGCCGTCCCAAATGAAGCCTAAATTAACCTAGATTAATAAGAGCCAATGGAGTACAAACTTGGATGGTAAGCAGTAACTAGTCTATTGTTCTTAATAGATGTAGATTGTTTGTTTTGTTATATGAGTTTTACTTGCAATTTCTTGTATGATTTCATGATAATATTAGCTTGTAGTGTTTTCTCATGCCTTCAAAATCTGAGTATATTTAAGAGAAATAAAAATTTCATATTTGGTGTATTTTTCATCAAAATTCTTCTAAAATGTGACATGTGTCATTTAGAATTTTAAAACATGTATTTTAAATCATGAAGAGTGAGGGCTGTCTTCAAGATGAGCTAATGCAATGGTAGCCAACTTTCAAGCTCCCATTGGAACTATTTTCTTATTATTTTTTAAAATAGTTTTTTAATAAAAAAATTAAAATTTTTATACTAAAAAGGCTGCTTTAAGAAGCAGCAAGAAAGCGTTCCAAACGAAGCCTCAACCACATTTTGGCTTCGTTTGAGATGACTTTTTTACTGCTTTGCAAAGTTGATTTTTAGTGCAATTTTTTTTTTAAACAGTAAAAAAAATAATGATGTAAAGCTATTCTTTAGTATAAAAATTTGTAGATTAACTCATCATAACCATTGTTTTAGATTTCTTATCCAATTCGGGCTTTGTTTGGAGTGCTTGAAGTTTTTTGTAAAGTTGTTATAGAAAAATTAAAATTTTTTAAAATTTTGTAGTTTTTATAAATATTTTCTTTTCGAAAATAAAGGATCATAATTTTTTTTACCGTTGTAACATACTAGCATGTATAATTGCAAAGTTCTAAAAAGTCTCTTCAAAATTAATTTAAAATATATGCATGAAAATATATATATATATTTTATGTTTAAATAAATTAACATCAATAATATTTTTAATATAATTTAAAAATCAATGTATTTTATTGATGAATAGAAAATATAAATATTAAATAAATTAATATAAACCCTATTAATTATTGGCATAATTAGGATTCCTCACTGCTGCTTATGCTTCTCCTTACCTGTCGTGCACTTGGCTCCCCTACATTTTAAGCTGGAAATTATCCCTCTTTTCTCCTCCGCGGCATCTGAGAGCTCTCTTTAAAGAATGGAGTAAATTTGAGCTTTGGCTTTTGCTATTGCTGTCTGACTCTCTTGCTTTCCGTTTTCTGAAACCTGTAGCTGGTTTTCGTCGGAAGCGAGCGAAGAGGAAAGATGGACGACTACGCGAGGGAGATGATGGACCTGAAAACACTCGTCACCCGAACGCTCGAGAAGAAGGGAGTTCTCGCGAAGATAAGGGTAAGAGCGCTCCCGTTTCTCCGATCTATTTTGTTGGATATGAGAATCGGAAGGTCAGGACCTTTATCCGGTGGAATTAGGGTTTCGGATTGTTGTTATCTTGGCAGCCACTAGCTTTTATTTTGTATGAGGTTGCTAGCGTTGAATAAACCCAGGGAAACTAGGGAATATCAATGATGGAATGATCAATTTTCGTTTTTGTTTCTGTACTAGGTCGAATGCTGTAATGATTGTTAGGGTTTTGTTATGGATCGGGCATTTTGTATATCTTCTGGTGTAGCAAGTTATAGTGAGCTAGTTTTTCTGCGGTGGACTTATTTTGAAGGCAGGTTTTTTACACCACCTCTAGGTTTGCTTCCAAATGGTAGCTCTATTTTGGTGAACGAGAATGCTTTTTATCCATTTGTTTCGTGCAGGGTCTGACTTCATTGTTTATCTTTCAGATCTTTGCAAGGGCTTATCCTGTTGAAATGTAAAAATTTAGGTTTTTAATTGGAACCACACATTTGATTTTCCAGTACTCTGAAGCAGTGATGAGTTTTTCCCATAATTCATTTAACCTTTATATCCTGAAAGAACTCGACCACAATAACCAAATATTTCCTGATATCTTTACCCACATGACCTGTATAGTCTAATCTGTTGAGATTTTGAGATTATCATATTTTTTTTCACTTTCTTGAATATTAAATGGCATGTTAATCTAGCACAGCAAGGTCTCTCAATGTTTTTGGGAAAGAAAAATTTCAGTTTTTTTAGCAGTCATAACATATTTGATTAGAATTTCAAATAACTTCTTGTTCTAAGTTGAAATTTAATTTAACTTGGTTGCAGGCTGAGCTCCGAGCAAGTGTCTTTGAGGCCATTGAAGAAGAGGACCGAGTTATTGAAAATGAAAATAGTGGAGTTCCTCCAGCTTTGCTTGGAAGTTGTAATGATCGTGCCAAGCAGCTACATGCCTCTCCTACAGGTCTTTACTCTTTACTAATCATTCCATGAAAGAGGATTAATCATTATTTGTGCATCTTCACCCTCCATTCGTTTCTATTGAATTTTGAATGAGTTTGAACTTATTTTTTATATATTTATTTTAACAATTTTTTTTATTGTTGTTTTTGGTCCACTTTGGTCCACCTCATTTATTTTCTAATCATTTGACATTAATTTTATACAATTGTCTTTTTGATGCATCCCTTACCCTTCATTGTACATCTCAAACCTAATTATGTCTATTTTCCACTACTTCATGTTCTATATATATTAGATTATACTTCTGCTTCTTCTATGATATGATCATTTCTAAATCTAAATTTCATTTACACATCCATGCTAAACTTTGTTATATACTTATACATTACTTTTTACTGCCAAACATTTGTATCTATACAACTTTGATGAGCGTTTGGCGGGAAAGAAGTCACTGATAGATAATTTGATCATGTCATAAATGAGAATATTAAGATGGATGAGTGGTGAAATTATGATAGATTGAGAAATGATTTCATTAGAGGGATACTGGGAGGAACATCCACAAAGAAAGTGTGGTAGAAAATTAAACATAAGTGATTTGGGCATGTATAATAGATGGTAGACTATGTACCAATAAGAGGTTTACTATTATATATTTTCATTTCATTGATTGCCACATTCATCATACGAGGTCTATGATTCACAATGGTCTTAAGAAATTATATTGGCAAGCAAGTCACACAAACAACATGCATGCTTCCTCTTTAAGTGTTGTACGCTCTTACATTTTAGAGTGATTCTTTTTGTTGAGTCTCTGCATGGGATTTTATGAAACTATCGTTGCTCAATGTTAGGCATGGAGATTGGTATGAAAAGATCAAGCTGAAAGCTTTTCTTTCTTGTTAGGAATGTAGAGCAAAATTAGTAATTTTATTTGTTAGAATGGTGCTATAAGGTTTTCTTTGAAGCCACCATTCACTCAAATTTAGGGTTTAAATATAGCTTTTCTTTCTGGTTATACACAATTTTTGTTCTCATTATGTCTTCTAATAAGTTCATATTTGTATTTTTCAATGTTATTTTTGTCAAGGAAATTTTTCTTCTTGCCTAAACTATTTATGTTAAGTTTTTTTATTGTATAATAGAATAAGGACATCTCAAATGAACATCAATATGGTTAATAATAATCACATAGTGGATGATACTAGACCGTTATGGGTATATGCTACCACATTTGACAAAGTAAAAGCAATTAAGGCGGGAAGCAATGTAGAATTTCAACATCTTTTTCGTTTAGGAACGTTTTATGGGAACACATTCTCGGGTGAGTGCGCACTTTCTTTAACAACTTGTGGCAAGCATTTAATCAAAAAATGCAAAAATTAGATGATACAACAACAACAACAAGCTTTTATCCCACTATGTGGGGTCGGCTACATGAATCCTTTTTCTCCATTGTGTCCAGTTAAGAGTCGAATTCTCATTAAGATCTAATAAAGAAAGGTTATTTCTAATATTTTCTAGCCAAGTCTTTTTAGATCTACCTCTACCTTTCTTAACATAGGTTAAATAATACATCTACTATGCTAACCGGTTCATCATAAGGCCGTCGTTTTATGTGACCAAGCCATCTAAGGCGACTCTCTCTAATCTTATCTACCACTGGAACTAGTCCAACCTTTTCACATATATGCTCATTTTGTATCATGTCTCTAAGAGTGTAGCCACTCATTCACCTGAGTATCATCATCTCTGCAACACTTAACTTAATATTATGCTTCTCTTTTAGTGGCCAACATCCTGCGCCATAAAGCATTGCAAGTCTAACCACCATCTTATAGAATTTTCCCTTAATTTTGAGTGGTACTTTTCTGTCACACAACAAGCCCAAAATGATGATGCTGAGCAAAAAAATAAGTAAGTATTTTTTTAAAAGGTTCTTTTTTCTTCTTTTATGTGAAGTGGTTCCAACCAATCTTTAGGCTCATGGTTGAGTGAACATTTATTTAGGGTTGAAGGTTATGATCCAAAAAGAAGTAAATTATCAAGCATTAATGCAATTGAAAGATCATTTAATTTATAAGTTATAGATCATTTACATAAAGAATTTTCTTGAATGTTCTATTCAGTAGCCCTTTCTCACATGCCTACACCTGGCAAGCTAGATTTCAACCTTGAATTTGTCTATGTAAGCCTATAGAATTATTGATGCACAACCATTAATTCATTGCGCCAACCCTAGATGGAAGTTGACATGGAATCACCTCTTGTTTTGGCAGAATTTCCTGTTCTAGAAATTCCATCCCCTATTCAAAATTGATTCTCTCTACGTATATATGAGAAAATAATTTTCCTGATTCATTGTATAATTACTAATTTTCCTTTGTTTCTCTTTTCTATCTTAGGTCCTCAAATTGAGTAGTGTTTTTCTAAGTTCGACATTAGTTACTGCTGTGCTATAAGAAAAATAGAACGTTTTTTAACCGTATTAGACCTTTTAGAAAAAGTAACATTTAAATCATATTGCTAAGGTGTACCTAAAATAACACGAGGAAGGTTGGTAAGCAACCTATCACACTAGATTCTGTCATATTGCTTAGGTGTACCCGATTTAATCGAATTTAGACATCTTCAGTGCACATATATACCAATTTTATCCACCCAAGCTTTTAAAGATAGCTATGGATGTGATTCTGATTTCAAAGTCCTATGGTCTAGGAAAAACTTAGACATAACATTCATACAACTCACTATCAATTTTAAGCTTGTCCGTATTTATAAAATGTGTTTGAAAAATCATAGTTCTCTTAACTTGCATTTAACCTTATGGGTAGCTATAGGGAAACACATGACATTTGAAGAATCATCCATTAAAAATTCCTCAAAATCACTAATCTCTTCACCAAACTCATGAAAATTATTAAAATCGTTAATTTGATTTTCTTCTTCATATGCAGTCTTATGCAAGGTTTTATTTGGACACTCGTTAGCATAATGATCAATTTGATTACATTTAAATTATGCATGGTAGAAATCTTATACCCAAATGTAGGCGCTGTAAATATCTCTTTTGTGTTTTTTATTAATTTTATTTTTTAGGACACTTAGATGCAGTGCTTGCAACTAATCGAACTTGCTTTCTTTGATGAAATGATGCACATACTGAATATGTTGCTAGCCTCTTAGATGCATGAATTTTATTATTTGTTCAAAGCCTAATGCAAGTTGAAACGAATGCTCAAGTAGTGATATTTGATGGTGTGTCATATCTTGCTGGATAACAAGTCTCAAACCATACATAAACCTAGAGATTGTTGTTTTAGGATCTTCAATGATCTCAAAAGACAACTTTAAGTCCATCACATTAGCAACACTTGCATGAGCTTTATCATTTCTTTCCTTGGAAAACCCTAGATAAGGCAATATCTAAATGAGAGAGAAAGATTTGAAGAGGGCAATTAGAAGTATGGCAGAGTGAAGTCATAAGCTCAGTTAGAAAATTTCAAATGAGAGAGACTATAAGATTTCATCTCCTTTGTAGTTGTATCTAAGGATTGAAAAACATGTTGCCGAGGATAGGAGGAGAATTATAATTGGAGAAATATCTAGAAAGACATGAAATAATCGTAATTGGGGTGGGTCTTTCAGTTGTATCCAATAATTGGGATAGGGATTGTTGACAATGATGATGATCTTAGGCTTCAATTCAGATGACTTTTTTAACTGTTTTTATGATAGGAAAAGTAGATAACAAAATCAGTTTTTGTTTGAAAAAAATTGAACGATTTAGTTTTTTATTTATTTTCTCATAATTTGCTTTAGAAAAGTTACTTTTAGAAAGACATGAAAATGTGGCCAAGAAAGCATCTGGATAACAAAAGTAGAATGAATAAGCTACCCCAAATGAAGATTTGATATCTGTATCTTTTAAATTAGTTTTCTTTTATTTCCTGTAACCAATATGATTTGTATAACATGTGGAAGCATGCTTTCTTATTGTGTAGAAAATCAACTATTGTGACGCTTCAAAAGCTTGAACTTTAGCTCTTGATTATTCTGAGTAATATATTCTACTAAAACCTTGGATGGAAGAGTAGATATCTGAAATGAGTTCTCTAAGCTTCTCAGATATACGTTTATAACTGATCCTTTTGTTCCATCACGTTTTCTTCTTATTATTGGGCAACTATCTTTTGATAACGTAGTAAATAAGCACTGTATAATTTTTTTTAATTTACTGTACAATATCAGTATCCTTAGCTTCCAGTGTTATTCCAGGATAGAAGTAATTATTTTTGCTTAACCCGGACCATCTGATTTGTTGCCCTTCTCAAAATTTTATGCTGGATGTTTCTTAGTTTTGAAGCCTACACACAGTGCTTTTGGAAGCTATAGCAGTTGTTTGTGTTGAAATGCTTTATTTCATCTACACTGTTTAATAAGAACCTTTTAATCCTAGCAGGAAAGTTATTGACTGCTCTGGTGTGCGAATACCTAGATTGGGCCCAGCTTGGGCACACTCTTAAGGTTTACTTGCCTGAGTGCAATTTGGTGAGCTTTCTGCCTATCTGGTTCATGGAATTTAGCTACCTTCCAATTCAATAGTGTTCTTAGCCACCTCTTCCTTTGGCTGATGACATGATTTCAGGAAAAGGACTTTTGGAAAGCTGAGTTACGGGACTTTAGTGGCAAAGATGGCTTTGATATTAATAGGAATAATGAAAGCAGGCCTATGCTTTTAGATGTGCTTGAAGGTTTTCTGAAATCACAGGTATTGTCCTTGTTGATATGGTCTATCATCTTCTTGGTTCTCTATCATATTAAGATTTATATTTGATTCATTAATTAGGAAACTTACCGCAAAATAAGTGCTTTGTAAGTGAGTTTGCATTCAATTGTCTTGTTGTTTAGATATTCCCATTAGAATTTGAGCTAAGCTTGTTAAAATTTTGAAATGCCGTCTATGGTTTAATTCCAAATAATTCATTATCAATTATTATTTCCAGTATTGACATGCAAATATTACAATATCTATATGTAGTAGATGATATATATTATAGCTATGTACTTAATAATATCATATAATACACATATGTATCATTACAACAACAACAAGCCTTTATCCCACTATATGGGGTTGGCACACATGTATCATTGCTATTGACTAAATAAAAAAAGAAAAAGAAAACCCAAACTCGAAACCCGTCGGTCGACTCATCCCACCTCGCAGCTCCACGCTAACGCATGATCTTCCCAAAAGACGTAACTCTTCGCTCTCGTAACTCCCTCACATGGCAGAAAACTCCCTCAAGCCTGCTCTTTCCTTTCATTCGAACTCACGCAACTGCTTGTCTCCCTCGCCAGTCTCTCCATGAATCGCATGCAAGGAAGACAGGTTCTCCTTCTCGCTTTCTCTACACTGTGCGTAAAACCCCGCATGTGCTTCCTTGTTCAGTATGCATGCACCATAGCAGTGAGATTGGCGTTTCTTGTAAATGCTATGTTAAGACATGCTAATAGTTCTTCTATTAGTAATGTGGATGCGATGATAATTTACAAGAGTAGAATCTCTGATGATTTGCAGCCGGTGGCTATTGAAAATAGTAACTTAATAAATTCCACTTTAAGTCACGATTCTAAAAATAATATGCTGATAATGCCAAAAGCAAAACTAGTTGGAGGGCCTCTGCAGGATATAATGCATCAGATGATGTTGACATGCTTCAAGTGTTTTCTGATGAAGTTAGAAGATGCGCAGAAATAGATAATGTTGAATGTTTATTGGTTATGGAAGGGAACTTAAATTTGTAACCCTGGCATTTACAAGAAGATGCATAGAAATAGATTATGTTTCGTTCATTGGCCTTGTTATCGGTTGGAAATTTTCTTTGTTGCATTGGATGACAGGTGCATTAACGGAGAGCTTCTTGAAACCATCATCTTGACATGTTCAACGTTTGTGAAAACTCTCAAGTTATCATCTAGGATGGAGGTGTAATCAAAGAAGCATCAAAGTGTGCAGTTTTATCTTCGCTTTCTTGCCCTCGAAGAAATTATGTTTCACTTTTGGTGCATTCCCTTGCTCTTCTGAGAGCAGCCCATGCATATAGTCATAGGGAAGATGGGCAGTGGAAACCTACGATCAACTCCTAAGCGGAGCCGTAAGCTCCGACCCAAATCAAACAATCGGCCAACTTCCAAGGGAAGTTGTAAGCCTCGACCTATATCTAAACATAGAGGCAACTCCTAAGTGGAGTCGTAAGCCCCGATCAAATTCAAGCCTACAGGCAACTCTTAAGAGGAGTCATAAGCCATGACCCAAATTAAATAACCGAAAAACTTCTAAATGAAATCGTAAGCCTCAAATTAAATCAATTACCGTGTATTCTAACAGATGTAAACCCCAAATCACAACTTACTCCCCATATAACTTAAATTATAACCAAACCATTTAAGTTTACTCGAGATCTCTGAGAGGAGGTAACCCATAGCTATTAATCAGATTTCCTGGGTACTACAATCAGCGATTGATACTGTTGATAGACTGAAACTTACGGTATTCCCAGGACGATAGAATCATGGGATCTTGATTGGGTCTACCTTCATACCCCACAAACGAGACTAAAACACCTAAAATTTTTCATCCTTAATCGAGAGTTTTCTCTTTAGGCAGTAAGAGAGGTAATTAACTATGAGGGCTTGCGCTCATAGGAAGTAAGGACCCAGATCTAACCAAACCTTGATATAATCTTTAGGGGAAATCTAATTAACTACAATCTGCCTTAAAGAAAATGAAATCCTATATATGCAAAGCAGGATTAATGCCGAAGCGCCATTTTTCTTGAGCAAACAATTGCAAATAACTAAGAGTTCATTTGTTGCAAATATATGGACAATCGATGTATTCAAAATATAATGCAAAGTTAAATTATGTATTTGAAATACTTTGCAGTGTTTGGTTTATTGTATAAGAAGTTTAGGAGTTTAATTTTATATTTTTGGTTGCTTGCAAAGCGAAATTGAAACCTTGAGATATAGCATCGGCTGATGGCAGTAACTATTTGTTAAGGCATTGTTGGCTAGCGATGATGAAGACAAGTAGGGGCATGAAAGGACTTGGGCACCAAAAATCAGTAAGCAAACAATAAATTTCAGTATACCAACAAATTTTTATTGATAAGAAAAGAAATAAGGACATGCAAGATACAATTATTTTCTTTCGGGAAAAGGACCTCTCGCAAATTCTAGACACCGCTAGAATCCATCACAAAAATCATGCACAACAAATACTAATAAAACTTATCAATAACATGATCTAAATCCTAGATAACTTCCCCTTAAATAGCCTTAGTCATCATAACACAAATGGAATCTTCCTAAACAATTGAATATAATTTAGGCAATCATCCTAAACAATTAAACATGATTTAGGAAACCTTCCTAAATAATTAAACACTTTGTAAATAGTATAAACATAATTTAGAAAACCTTCCTAAACAATTAAACATGATTTAGGAAATCTTCCTAAACAATATAAACATAATTAAGAAACCTTCATAAATAGTTTCCCTTTAATTAGGAACCTTTCTAAACAACTCATCTTGATTAGGAATCTTCTAAATAGCTTCCCTTGGGCCCCACAAGGTGGCCTTCCCGGCGTATCAATACTCCCCTCCCAAAGAGTCACATTGTCCTCAAGGTATAAGGATTAGAATTGTCTCTTGTTCATATGTTTTAACAACAAAATCTGCTTCCTATCGAGAACCACTTAGCACATGATCCAATTCTATATCCTTCATTATTTGCTTGTTCTTCACTTCTTCACTCTAGAGAATATACCATCTTTCAACAGTTTAATATCTTTGCCAATGACTTCACCTTTTATCCACTTGCTCTAGTCATTATAGTCATCAATTATTTTTTTCCACTCAAAGCCATAAAGGTTAAAAAGAAATGGGCAAAAAATCAGGTGGCAACAAGGAACCACATGGATACAGTGAGAAACATAAATGTTGTTGAATCAGTAGTTGCAGGTCCATACATCTGATAAACACTTAGCGGCAATATAAGTTCCAGATCCTTTATAAAATGCAAACTTTATATGTTGCCCAGCAAATCCTTATCCAGTAACTCTATATTTTGCTTCACCATGTAGGATTGTCCGTCCAAAGTAATGGTATTTTGTTCCAAGCAAGAATGTAAAGAACACTAAGCACAATTAAAGTTACATGATGATTATGTCGTCCAATGCAGTTCTGAATCCCCTTTTCAGCTCAGTCTCCATGACCATGGGTAAAATTGAATGCATAAATAACCTGATAATTATATGAATTCTAAAAAATGATCAATTATTTAAAGTTACTTTAATATTCCTTAAAGTTTAGAATGATAATCCAAATCAAGTCTCATTATCGAGCCATTTAAAGGATGTAAGCCATAACCTAATTAAGTGGGCCACATCTTTTTTTTTTTTTAATTTGGGCCACATGACTTAAGGGTGAGGATACAAGAGCCACTTTTGAGCTTTCCTCATCCTCGAGGTTACAAGCCTTAGGGCTTTCTAATCTATATAAGCCGCAATCCATTCAATTTGGATTCGTCCAAAGCAGGGGGTGCAAACGAGCTGAGTTGAGCTCGAGTAAGACCTAGCTCGAGCTCGACTGATGAGCCAAATCTTGAGGTCGACTCAAGTTCGAACTTGAGCCCGAACTCGAGTCGAGCTTGAGCTCGACTCGTGCCAGAATTTGCGGTCCGACCTGCCCATCCGCCTTCAGCATTTGCACACCTAGACGTAGGGGTGTCAACTTTTGACACGACCCGAAAACCCGACCCGTATCCGACCCGGAAAATCCGGGTTGGACCCGACCCGTTTGATAAACGGGTCGGGTTCGGGTTCACAAATTCGACCCGTTTAAAAAATGGGTCGGGTTCGGGTTGACCCGGCGGGGTCGGGTCCGTGTTCAGATTTCCGACCCGTTTGCCTTCCCGGGTTGGGTTATAGGGTCGACCCGTTTGAACCCGGGTCAGTTCCGGGTTCGACCCGAACCCGACTCGTGACCCGAAATTGACACCCCTACCTAGACGTCGTCTGCCTTTGGCGTTCTAGGCCTAGACGTCGTGCTTCACCCCGCTGTTCACCCACGGTTCGCTCGCTTCCGCTTTTCACTCGGGCTAATCGAGCCAAGCAGCATCTATGCTCGAACTCGAGCTCGAAATTATGCTCGAGCTCGAGCTTGAAGCTCGATAAGCTTGGCTGGCAAGCTCGTTTATGAGTTGAGCTTGAGCCGGTTCGCACCGGCTTGGCTCACTTACGCTAGTCCAAAGTAAGCAAACCACCTTTTGTTTGTGTGTAAGAAATCTACAATACAACTTACAGCACTCGAAGAACTCACAATAATCTTTGCTCTCAGTAAATTGAATACTCACAAAATTGATAGCGAGCTTGATCTTTTAATCACCACTGAATTTCCTACTTAAAATCAACCAAACTTGAGCTGTTGCTTACTTAAATCAAAATCAAAGAAACTCACTTCTTTAGACACTCCCTGATGATAGTGATTAAACATATATGAGAGCTTGAATTTACGATGTTTGATGAAGTGAATTTTCTTTTACAAGGAAAATGCATTATTTTTTTGCGCATTATATTCTCTGCATTGTCAAAATTTCATGCACTGAAAATGCCCTTTTCTAGAGGGTAGGCATGGAGCAGGATTTAGATGTCCCAGTATTGTTTATCCAAAGACCATAGGATTTTATTTGGGAGTTTTGGCGGACCCTAAAATTGGCTTTGCAGATGTGAATTAATATGAACCGTAGTTTATGATCAGACTGCTATATTTCATCATTCAATGAATCACAGAAATAATAATGTTTTGCATATTTTCTCTTTAATTGTATTTTTTGAAGTTCATTACTCCTTTCTGCATTTCATAAATTAAAGGAAGCAGCTTTAGCAATTCTACCTTTATAGAGTTTTTTTTTATCTACCTCCACGGTTATTGCTTTAGACATTCCTACTATTATATCTGCTAAAATGATAATTTTGTAATCAAGGTCGCTGTTGTTGTCCTACATATCTTTAGATACGTTGGGATGTAACTGGTTACGTTGTAGAATGAAGAATGATACTCATGCAAATTTTTGTTCCATTGAAGGCCTCCCCTGGCATGCTGTGATTTGGGGATTTGACAGGGTTTTACATTAAACTGAAGTGAGATATTTGAACTGCTCTTGAGATCAGAATTTAGCTCACCTAGTCATCTACCCAAATCATTTGGGCAATCAAGTCAATCTTGGTCACTAGAACTTAAAACTCATCAAAATTTATTGGAAACATTGCTTGTGTAACTTATTTTAGTATTTTTTTTATCTTTTTTTTAATAACTTATTTCAGTATTTTTTTTTTGGCCTTGGTTTAACAAAGGTAGTATAACTTATTTCAGTATGTCATCATAACTTGTGTCCTATAGGGTTTCTTAAATTTATTTGATGGTTTGGCTTATGGATATTTTACATGCAATAGTCAAAAGTATTCTAAACAACCTGATCCAAGTTATAATGGTCATGGAGTATAAGCCAAATATTACTCCATTGTTAGTTTAACACGTATAATTATAAAAAAATTCACATTAATTACCCATTTAAATTATACTTGTTTATTTTATTTTTTTAAAATAACACTGCCGTTGCCAGGTCCCAAGTCCTAGATGAGAAAAGTGGAGGGTTGCGTTAGGTAGTCGACAGCCAGCGTAAAACTTGTCGAACAAGAATGACATGAATCCTTTAAGAATTTGTGTTAATGCTAGGGTGTCCCCTGGAAGTGACGCGCTGTATGGTCTGAATACAGTGACAAGTGTGCAAGGGCCGCTGCACCGGTGCCCGGGTGCAGTGTTAAATAGGCAAAGGTTCCCACATCAATGACGGATGTGGGCAAAGAAGCTAGTCCATGATACTAAAATTAGGATAGAAACTTGGAATATAGGTTCCCTTACAGAAAAATTAATGGAATTAATAGATATTATGATTCATAGGAAATTAAATATTTTGTGCATTCAGGAAACTAAATGGGTTGGAGAGAAGGCTATGGAAATTGATAGTTTAGGATTTAAACTTTGGTATTCGGGTAGGATTCGTACTAGAAATGATGTAGGTGTTATTATAGATAAGAGTTTAAAAGATAATGTTATAAATATTAATAGGA